AGGAAGGAAGGAAGGAAGGAAGGAAGGAAGGAAGGAAGGAAGGAAGGAAGGAAAACACAGCTTACCACCATCATAACAGCCCATGCATCGTTGGTCTGACATCCCTGCCCCGGTGTTCTGGCACACTGGCCATTTAAGTCAAAGGCACTTGAGCAGCAGCAGGTGCAGAACAATCGCTCTGACCTTCTGCTTGTTTCTGAAAAGTAGGAGATGAAATTCTGCTGTGAATGACACAACATCCTTATCTGCAATGGCCCAGAAGTTTCAGCATGGGCCTTGTTAACTCTTATCTTTTAAGCCTCCCAATGTAATTTCATTTTCTGCTTCCTGACTGCATTCAATTCGGCTCCTGAACTAAGGATTTCCAACTGCATTTTTTGGTGGTGGTGGTGGTGGGGCGCACGGGGGTGGGTGTCTTAGTTCCTTTGAGAGGTTCCCAGGCTCTATAAAACCAAGCTTCTCTATAGTTCTTCTGGGGCCACCAGAGAAAGCAGAGAAATGAATCACCCCCATGCTTTCTGCTTGTGAAGCAATGGTGCTCAGAGAGAAAGTGCTAGGGCTGGTGAGATGACTCAGCAGGCAAAGGAGCCTGTGACCAAATCCCACAACCTGAGTCTGATCCCCAAGACCCATGTGGTAAAAGAAAGAACCAGTTTCTGCAAGTTGTCCTTCGACCTCCCATGCCCATTGCCCCACTCCCACATGCAGATTAAATACACAGAACGAAAATTAAAGGGAGACGGAATGGGGAGATGGTTCAGGGTTAAAAAGCACTTTCTGCTCTTCCTGAGGACCTGAGTTCAGTGCCCAGCACCCACATCTGGCAGCTCACAACCAGGGACCACTCTGGCTCTAGGGAGTTTGATGCCCTTTTCTGGCCTCCATCCACACTTGCAAACATGAGACACACATGTAACAGAACTCAGACCTTAGCACAACTGATTCTGCGATGGAGGTGCCGTTTAGGACATGACATTTAGCGTAGAAACAGCACCGCTTGCCAAAACTAAAACAAAGGCTTGATCTATCCAAGTTTATAGTTCTAGGAAAGTCTCTAAATGGACTAACCTTGCTTTTTGGCTCTGTAGTTCCACTTCTGGCTAACTGTCCTTGTTAACTGAAATATGCCAACACAGAATATTGCTTTTGTGTTTGATAGATTACCCTAAGAAAGGCTCGGGGCCACACTGCAATATTGAACCATTCAATGTAGTCACCGGCTCATAAAGACTTTTTATTGTCTTAAAATCATATCTGAATAGACTTCTCTGGTGGACACATAGATAAACACAAAACACAGAAACAAAAATAAATCTTTTTAAAAATGCAAAAAAGGGAGGGAGTGGAAGGTGGACTTTCCAGGAGGGTAGATACAGTCCTCCGCCAGTTCTACGAACAGTGAGGGCTGTTCCCTTATGAGACTGGAGTTTCTAAGTCTGGGCTTGTTGGGAGATGTAACCTGCTGGTCACACAGCTCTCCTCCGCAGTGTTCCTCTTCATTGAGACAGGAGACTCAGCTTCCTGGTTCTGAGCAATAGCACTGTGATCCCCAGGGACACCCACTGCTTGTGGGAAAGGGAAGGTCTGAGCTAGGAGGAGGGAGAGTCAATGATGCGAGAGCAGAGATGCTTAATGAACTGAGAGCCTGGCCCCTGTGCTCAGCAGTTGGGAGACTCGGAACTGCCAATACCGACTATCCATGGATTCCTCTTGAAGTTTATTTCATATGAGCCCATCAAGATGCCAGTAGGAGTACAAAACACGTGTGGAATCGAAAAGAGCCAAGATGTTTCAAAAAGACATTATTAATGGGGTCCTGCCACCTGCTTTTCAAGTGGAACGTAGTCACTAGGAAGTTGTGGTACTGGGTACTCTGTGTCATGAGCCAAAGGTAATAGAATGGCCATAACAGACTCCACAGATAATTTCGCAGTCTCAATAGAGTGTAAAGGTCCAGTCTCTTCTGAGACTCAAAGCAATCTCTCAGTTGTAACACAGGGATCTCAGGACACTGAAAATGAAAACGTCTGACTTGGTTGACTTTGAAAATGTTTGCTCTTCCAAAGACGCTGACAAGAGAGGGAGAAAAGGGTGAGAGTGTGCTGCTCAATAGAACCCTTGCCTGGCACCTAAACTTGGTTTCCCATCCCTAGCCCTGAAGAAAGAGGACAAGGAAGATGGAGAAGAGGAAGAGGTAGTGAGGGGAAGAGAGAGAGGAGGAGGTGGTAGTAGTGGCATGGGGAGCCGAGGAAGCCTTGAATGGATGTATAAAGAATGATGAGGTCCTGAGTGACTGTGTATTATTGACCAGAACCCCAAGGCCCCAACTCATGCCTTCCATCAGTTGAGCTAGGCTCAGAGGCTTAGCAAAGTCTTTCCTATACCAACGAGGCTCAGAATTGGCAAAGCGTTCCTCTGGCCCAAGTACCAAAGTTTTTAAAGGATTGACCAGTATGTAAGGGTTGACCAGTGTATGCTGTGGAATAAAGTGTGTCACTGTGACTGGTTTAATAAAAGGCTAACTGGCCAATAATTAGGCAGAAAGTATAGCAGGGACTTCTGGACAGAGCATGTTCTGGGACAAAGAAAGAGTCACCAGCCAGACACAGAGGAAGCAGGGCGGGCAAAATGTGGATGAGGTAAAGAGTGTGTGGAAGAATGTAGATTTAAAACTAGGCGTTAATTTGAGCTATAAGAGCTAGTTAGAAGCAGGCCTACGCTAAGGTCAAGCTTTCATAATTAAAAATAAGTCTCCTTGTCGTTTTTGTGAGCTGGAGGCCCAAAGAAAAATGTATCGACAAATGTATGCAACAGCTAGCTACTGCACTTCCTCCTCGCAGACGACTGTAACCTGAGACTGCTCCCCTACAGAGACCTCCTAGGAGACTAGCTAATCTCACCTTCTGATGTGCAAAATAAACTTGCTAAAGTTGGTGCTGTTCAGAGTGAGCAAGGCCCACCTGATTCCAGTCTCTCTCTCTCTCTCTCTCTCTCTCTCTCTCTCTCTCTCTCTCTCTCCTTCCCCCCATCCCTCCCCTTTCCCCCCACTCTCTGTGAGTGTGTGTGCACATGTATGTGCTTGTGGGCACGCATGTATGCATGTGCGTGTGTGTGTGTATGACAGTCTTTTCTTCATTTCCTTGATGTCCTGGTAAGATTTCCAGGATCAAGTCAGGCTGGGCCCTGTGAAGAGAGGAATGGAAAGAGAAGGAAGGCTAATAAGAAGAGGAGAAAGGAGAGAAGAGAACAAGGAGGAGGAGATAATTAAAGCACACACCAGTAAAGTGTGTTAAAGAAGAGCTGTTGGGGGGTGGCTTAGACCGTGTTTCTCAGCATGCTTTCTGTGGCCCAGGTGGCTCACTTAATGACACTGATTCACCCAGAGCTGTGTTATTCTTCTTTCAACATATTAAAAACAAAACAAAAATTTATTTTGGTTTAAAGTGCTTGACACGCCTCTAAATTTTCCCTTTTTAAACAAAGTCTTGAGCAAGCAACTGTTTTCTTCTAAAATGTAATATATTTGTTTTATTATTCCTCCTGTTTGTTTTTGCAATATCTTTCTAAAGACAATTCACATTAGGCTATTGTGTACCATAATAAAGCATCCCTTTTTTACCAGCGAGACAGCTCAGCAGGAAAAGGTGTTCGCCTCTAAGCCTGAGATCTGAGTTCATTCCCCAGGACCACACCATGCAAGGAGAGAACTGACTCCGATGAGCTGACCTCTGACCTCCACATGTGTGCCATAGCAGGAGTTCATACCACTGCAAAATAAATAAATATAAAACTTAAAATGAAAAATTCCTTTTAAAGAAAAAAAAAAAGAAAAGAAAAGAAATAGCAACAGACAATCCAACTGCTTGGAGGAAATATGCCATTCACTTATCCAATGATGGATTTGGGACAAGAAGAGGTTGTCTCAAAATTTAAGAAAAAAGCAAAGAACTCTAAAAGACATCAGGCATAATATTTAAGCAAGTTTACCAGCACAGACAGTACAGGCAGAGACACTGTAGCAGTACACACACACTACAGACAGAGACACTGTAGCAGTATACACACACTACAGACA